ATATAAGAAGAGGTCATTTGGACCGAGAGATGGGGAGAGGAGCAGGCTTTGTGACAGCAGAGATAGGAGTGCTGCATCTACAAACCAAAGGCCAGCAAGGATGCTGGCAGCCACCAGGAGTGAGAAGAGAGGCAAGATTCTCCCTCGGAGTCTCTGGAAGGACTCAGCCCTCAGTTCTGGACTTCTGGTCTCCAGAATTGTAGGGGGATATTGCCCAGTTGTTTTAAGCCACCTAGTTCACAGAAATCTGTTATGGTATCCCTAGGACATCAGTGCACAGCCCTGATTCCAACCCAGTACATTTCTATTTCTTGCTGTGTTTGTGTGTGGTCTGCATCCTCCATGAGAATATCAGGCCTGTGAGAGCAAGGCCTTCTCTCTCCTGATCGTGCCTACACCTTCAGTGCCTGACACATTGACATTTTGGGGATGGAGTGACAGTGTGTTATGTCTGAAAGAAATAATTTCCTAGAGGTGAGGACTCAAAATGTAAGTGCATGTTAATTTCAACAGACTATCAGGTTCCTTTCCCCCCAAACATGTCCTCCTAGCAGGGCGTGTGGGTGCTCATTTCTCACATCCTAATTGGCTCTGGGCAGTGTTACTCTTTTTAATATTTGCCATCTGGAGGGTGTACAAGGAATCTCATTGCTGTTCTTTCATTTTCCTGACTATCAAGAAGGATGATGAAATTTTCATAGATTTATGGGCTGTTGCAACTTTCCTATGAATTGTTTATTCATATCTTTGTTCATTTTTAATTGATATGTGTGGTAGACATAATAAAGATCCCCTCTCAAAATTGTCTGTGTCCTAGTGCCCAGGACTTGTGAATATATTAGTTTACATAGTAGAAGGGAACAAAGGTTGCTAGTGGAATTAAGGTTTCTAGTCAGCTGACACTGAAAATGTGGGAAGATCACCCTGGATCATCTTGGTGGGTCCAATGTCATCACAAGGGTCCTTAAAAGTTGAAACTGGAGGCCGTGATCCAGCTGTGGCACTAGTGGTAAGGAACCTACCTGTCAATGCAGGAGATGTAAGAGATGTGGGTTCGATCCCTGGGTCAGGAAGATCACCTGGAGGAGGGCATGGCGATCACTCCAGTATTCTTGCCTGGAGAATCCCACGGACAGAGGAGCCTGGTGGACTACAGACCATGGGGTCACAAAGAGTCTGACATGATTGAAGCAACTTAGCACAGCATAGCATAGCACATAATCAGCTCACACTAAGATGGGGAAGATCACTTTGGATCATCTGGGTGGGCCCAATGTCATCACAAGGGACCTTAAAAGTTGAAACTGGAGGTAGAATAGAGAGACCCAGAGACATGGCAGCATGTGGGCTCAGCCTGACATTGATGGCTTTGAGGATGGAGAAAGACACCAAAGACCAGGGAATCCAGGCCACCTCTGTAAGCTAGAAAGACAAGGAAATAGATTTTCCCTAGAGCCTCTAGAAGGAGGTCAGACATGCTAACACTTTGATTTTAGCCCAATGAGATTCCTTTCAGACTTCTGACTTTCAGAACTACAAGATAATAAATTTGTGCTATTTTAAGCCACTGTTTGTGATCATTTGTTAGAGCAGCAATAAGAAATTAGTGCACTATATGCAGCAAATAGCAAATGCTGGAGAGAGTGGAGAAAAGAGAACCCTCCTCCTACATGGTTGGTGGGAATGTTAACTGGTCCAGCCACGACGGAGAACAGTATGGAGGCTCCTCAAAAAACTAAAAATAGAATTGCCATAGGATCCAGCAACCCCACTCCTGGGCATAGATCTGGAGAAAACTCCAGTTCAAAGATATATGCGCCCGTAAGTTCATAGCAGCACTAGTCACAATAGCTAAGATGTAGAAACAACCTAAATGGCCATCAACAGATGAATGAATAAAGAAGATGTAATACTCAGTTCAGTTCAGTCGCTCAGTCGTGTCTGACTCTGCGACCCCATGAATGTCAGCACGACAAGCCTCCCTGTCCATCACCAACTCCTGGAGTCTACACAAACCTATGTCCATCGAGTCGGTGATGCCATCCAGCCATCTCATCCTCTGTCGTCTCCTTCTCCTCCTGCCCCCAATCCTTCCCAGCATTAGGGTCTTTTCCATTGAGTCAATTCTTCGCATGAGGTGGCCAAAGTATTGGAGTTTCAGCTTCAACATCAGTCTTTCCAGTGAACACTCATATATAAAGAAGAAAGAAAGAATGCCATTTGCAGCAACATAGAAGCACCTAGTATGAAGAAAGTCAGACAGAAAAAGACAAATATCATATGATATTGCTTATATGTGGACTTTAAAAGATGACACAAATGAACTTATCTATAAAACAGAAACACACTTCACAGACATAGAGAACAGACTGTTGGTTGCCAGGGGGGAAAGGGAGGGATGGATTGGGAGTTTGGGATTAGCAGATGCAAACTATTATATATAGAACGGATAAACAACAAGGTCCTACTGCATTGCACAGGGAACTATATTAAATACCCTGAGATAAACCATAATGGAAAATAACATTAAACAGAATATATATATATATATTTGTATAACTAAATCACTTTGCTGTAGAGCGGAAATTGACTCAACGCTGTAAATCAACTATAATAAAAATCTTGTTTTAATTAGTGCACCATGTTTGAATTTTCTTATCAATTCATGGAAGCCTGATGTAGGTTAGGGACACAAATGTTTTATTTTCTTGCATCTGTGCTACCCTCACTGTCTGGTAAAGGAATTATTGGCTTATAACTTACCTCCTTCCTCATTGAGCCTCAAGGACAGGATCCATATTTTATCTTGGTATTTCTAGCAAAACAGAACTTGGCAGGTGCACTGAAAATGTGGAATGAATGAAAACACTGGTGAACTAGTCACATTCAGTCGTCCCTGCATCTGACTCATCCCTGTGCGCCACAAATTGAACCAACGGGTAATGGGGAGACCCGGGTATTGTCCCATTTCCTGGCTGTTTCCCAGGTTTAGCTCAGAGATGAAGTTGATCATCAGTTCCCCAGATGATGGGGTCCTGGCCTGTCATTCACTTCCTGGGCGGGCTTAGGGTATGTAGCAGGCTGGGGAGGGGACCTTTGCACTCAACCAGATTCAGGGACTGCAGAGCTGGCATGGCTTTGGGAAGTAGACTTGGACGGGATGGGGAGGATTCCCGAATCCCTGAGGACTCCTGTGTGTCACGGACTGCAGCAAGACATTCTCCCATGAGGATGAGGACGGGGTCCCTGTTATCTGTCATGTGGCTCACCAGAACTGGAGCGGCCCCAAGTCTGGGATACAGCACAGGGGATGGAATCCTGCTTCCAGGATTAGATTATAACACTGTCTTCGGCTCTCCAGCCGGCTGGGTCACTCACGCTGCGGGAAGCCACGTCACCAGCAGCCCCATGGAGCAATCTTTGTGGCAAGAGACGGCAGCCATGTGCCAACAATCACATGAGTGAGCTTGGAAGCAAATTTTTCGGCTCCTGCTGAGCCTTGAGCTGCTTGCAACTCTGTCCCACAGCTGGACACATCCTCACTCGAGCTCAGAGCCAGAACCACTCAGCTAAGCTACTCCTGGATTCCTGACCTCCAGAAATTGTGAGATAATAATTTGTCTTATTTAAAGCCGTTAAGTTTTGGAGTGACTTTTTATGAGGCAATAGTAACAAATAGGGTTGGGAATCCTTTTTCTTCACAGTTTTGAAAGATTTGCTCTGAGGCTAAAGTTCTAGTTTTCTGTTAGGAGACCTTCTCTTTTTTTCACATGTCCTGACATTGCACGGTGGTTTGGGTCTATATTTTCCATTGGGCTGGGCCCCTGGTGGGCCACTTCAATATGAAAATTCATGTCTTTCAGTGCTGGGGAATTTTCTGGAATTATTTCCATTGACAATTTCCTTCTTAACACTTTTTCTAGTCTCTGTTCCTGAACTTCCTTTTATTCATATTTTGAACCCTGGGGATTCATCTTTAATTTTCTGACTTACTATACCCCTTTTCTCAATTTTCCATTTCTGTGGTTTTCTTCCTTTGCTTTCTGGGTAATTTCTTTATCTTTTAATAAATCTTCTTCTTCTATTTTTTATTGTGTTCTCTTTTTTTTGTTCCTTCGTTTTTACTGAGTGTCCCCTTTTCATAGCGTCTGGTTCTTATGTTAGATACTGTATCTTTTCTTTCACTCTAAAAATTTCAATACTAGAGCTATGGAAAATTTTTTGTTTGTTCTGTTAAGTTTTCTTCTCCCTGCATAGTCTCGTGGATTCTTAGTCCTTTCCTTCCGTGAGGTCATTGCTGAGTCGGCGTCTACACCGCGAGTTAGTAGGGAGGTCTCCTGGGGGAGGAAACCCAGCAGAGCTTCGGCCAACCACGTGGACGAGCCTGAATGGCCTTCCTGGCTTGATGCTCGAGGCCTGGGTCACGGAGTCTCGCCCACCGAATGGAATCTGGGCTGGGAAGACTCAGTAAAGTGGGAGTTCCAGCTGCTGGGGCTCTTCGGGTCCTCATCTCTCTGTACTCTCCAGCACAGCAGTTTCCGGGGAAGCAGATTCTTACACGGTGTCTCAGGTCTCCCACAGCCTCAGTCCAAGTGGAAGAACGAGGCACGGCAGCAGTTGCATCACTTCTCACAACCTAACCTCGGAAGTCACACGATTTCTCTCCGTGAAGCAGGAGTCAAAGCCCACGCAGGTTTAAGGGAAGGAGAATAGCCCCCGCCTCTTGAAGGGAGAGTGTCAGAGTTCTCATAGAGCACGTGGGGCAGGAGATACTGTGCTGGCCGTTTTCGATACACATTATCCTAGTATTTGGGAATTCCCAAATGGCGCTAGTGATGAACTTGCCTGCTGATGCAGGAGATGTAAGAGATGCAGGTTTGATCCCTGGGTGGGGAAGATGCCCTGGAGGAGGGCATGGCATCCCATTCCAGTACTCTTGCCTGGAGAATCCCATGGACAGAGAAGCTTAGAGGGCTACAGTCCAAGGGGGTCACAAAAAGTCAGACACGACTGAAGTGACTTAGCATGCACACACGCACGTCCTCGTATTTAAGCAGACCATGGCCTCAAAAAGCCTGTATTCGTTCCCTATTGCTGCCACCACAAGTCTGGTACTTTGAAAACCACAAATTTATGATTTTACAGTTCTGGAGGCCAAACTCCAAAATGGGTCAGAGGTCCAACTGGCCGAATCAAGGCCACACTTCCTCCGGAGGCTTTGAGGAGGTCCCGTCTCCTCGCCTTCTCCTGCTTCCCTTGGTTGATGGCCCCTTCCTCTGCCTCCACAGCACATCTCTGCTTCCATGTTGCATCCTCTCGGACTCTGAGCCCCTCGCCTCTCTCTCATAAGGACCCTTGAGGTGACATTGGGTCCAACTTGATAACTGAGTACACTCTTCCCATCTGCAAAGACCCTTTGGCCATGAAAGGTTCCATTTTTACAGAATCCAGGGACTATGAGGTGGACATCTTCAGAGGGGACATAATTCTGTCCCTGGACTGACTTATATAGAGCTGCTTGCATGTGTCTTTCTTGGGTGGCAGAGTACTGAGGGTTGATCCAGTGGACCTAAGAAAGCTTTGCCCTTATCCCTGGGGTGCCTCCCCTTAAGCCAGAAGCATTCTTTACCACATACAGACCACTCCCAGGTTTGTAGAAGCTCAGGACTGGAGTCAGCTCTGACACCTTCTTCCCTGGTCATCAGCCTTCTCTCTGCTCCTGGAATTCTGAGCAAAGACACAGCTCCATGATCTCTCACAAGCCTGGCCCAATCCCAAGAATCTATCTGGCACCGTGACACAGAGCCCCCTTTCCATGTCTGGTGAGTCTGTAGGTAAAATGGACCCTCTCAAGCTGGGAGAAATAGATGATCAAAGCCAAGTCACGTTTATATTTAAATTCAGCTCTGTAAATAGGCTCCTGATGGGCAGGTAGGGAGGGGATAATGTGAGGGAGATGAATAGCAGAGGCTCAGCCCCCAGGCAGGGCGCCCCACTCAGACTGGGCCACCCTCGTGCCTCAGACCCCTCCAGACTCGGACATTCCCGCCTCTCTTGCGCTGATCACCACTGTCCACCCTTCCGCTCCCTCCCGCCTTCTGAGTCGCTTCTTTCCATGTGTCAAAGACACTCATTTCATCTCTCTCTTCTATAATGAGAAATTTCAAAACTGCAGACAGTGTAGAGAGCAAAAGTATCACACATCCACTTGCCACCTGCTCAGTGGTGATAATTTTAACAGAGTTTGCTTCCAGTTTTTTTCTTAGGCATGAAACACTATAGGTATCACTGAAGTCCCTTGTGTGACCCTTCTGAGCTCTTTTGTCCCCCCTAAACTGAGCCCTTCCATCCTTAGAGGAAACCACTCTCTTGACTTGGATGTGTCCAAAAAGTATGTCCACATTCTTTCCACATAAGTGTGCCTCCATAAACAACAGATTACAGACATGATCCACTACTATCTACAAATTCAATGTAACCTCTATCAAAATGTCAGCAGCTTTTTTTCACAGAAACAGAAAAGGTGATCTTCAGATTTATATGGAATTGCAAGGGAACTTGGATAGTTAAAATAATCTTGTCAAAGAAGAATAAGGTAGGGGGAAGGGTCTCATACTTCCTGGTTTCAAAACTTACTGCAAAACTCTAGTAATTAAAACAGTGTGGCAAAAGCATAGGCCATACAGACCAATGGAGTAGAATAGACAGCCCAGAGCTAAACCCTCCCATATGTGGCCCACTGACTTTTGACAAGGATGCCAAGGTCATTCAATGGAGGAAAGAACAATCTTTTTAGCAAATGGCACTGGGAAAACTGGATACATATCTATGTGCAAAAACTTTGGGCCCTTTACCTAACACCATGCACAAAAACTAATTTGATACAGAAGAGAGATCTAAAGGTTAAAACTTTAAATTTCCTCTAAGAAAACAGGATAAGACCTCAACATTGAATTTTACAACAATCTCAATGGACTTGACACCAAAAGTACAGGTAAGAAAAGGAAAAATAGATTGGATACAGAAGAGAGATCTAAAGGTTAAAACTTTAAATTTCCTCTAAGAAAACAGGATAAGACCTCAACATTGAATTTTACAACAATCTCAATGGACTTGACACCAAAAGTACAGGTAAGAAAAGGAAAAATAGATTGGATACAGAAGAGAGATCTAAAGGTTAAAACTTTAAATTTCCTCTAAGAAAACAGGATAAGACCTCAACATTGAATTTTACAACAATCTCAATGGACTTGACACCAAAAGTACAGGTAAGAAAAGGAAAAATAGATTGGATTTCTTCAAAAGTTAGTCTGTTTTTCAGAGAAAGAAAAATATCATATGATATCCCTTATATGTGGAATCTTTAAAAATGATAAGATGAACTTTATTTCCAAAGCAGAAATAACACAGACATAGAAAATAAACTTGTGGTTACCAAAGGGGAAAGAGTGGGAGGGATACGTTAGGAGTTGGCGGTGACAGCCTCGAGGGGTGGGATGTGGTGGGAGGTGAAGGGAGGTTCAAGAGGGAGGGGACGTATGTAAACCTGCGGCTGACTCATGCCGACACATGGCAGAAACAAACTTGATATTATAAAGCAATTACCCCTCAATTAAAAATAAATAAATTTTAAAAGGACTGATATCTTGACTTAGCTCTAACATTAATCTACAACAATGGTTACAATAAAATGAGATCCCAAAAGAAAATTAGGAGTTGGGATTAAAATAGACACACAGCTGTATGTAAAATAGATAACAATAGGGACCTAACATATAGCACAGGAAACTATACTCAATATCTTGTAATAACCTATAATGGAAAATAATCTTAAAAAGAATATCTATATCTATATAGCTCTATATCTATCTATCTATAATATATAAGAAAGAGTAAATCAACTCTATTTCAATACAAATTTTGATTTAAAAAAATTTAAGAATATAGAGCTAAAAAAAGAGGATATGAAAAGATGCATTACTCAGATATGAAGATTTCTGGGGGGAGCCTAAAACTTCCCAAGCAGGCCCAAAAATGGCTTAAGGGAGCAAGGAAAGGAGACTTGCTCGGGTCATTGGAGGATGGGGCTGGGGTACAGGTTCCAGGGCACAGACCTAGGCTTGCAGGATTTGAACCTCCTGATGAGGCAAAGGCAGGCAGTGCTCAAGCTTTCTGATGAGCTTGGCAGATCTAAGACAGGAAGGAAGAGGGAACAGTGGAGTTTGAAAGGTTTCAACAGTCCAATATCAAAAACAGAGCCAGACACGGTTATAATCTGTGCTACGGAATAAATGCTTGTGTCCTCTCAAGACTTACACACTAAAGCCTTAAGCCTCAACGTATTTGAAGGTGGGAGCTTCGGGAGGTAATCCTGTTTAGATGAGTTCGTGAGGGTGGTGCCCCTGTGATGGGATTAGTGCCTTTATAAGGAGAGGCAGAGACACAGAGCACCATTCTCCACCAGGTGAGGGAACAGAGAGAAGTGACCATCTGCAAACCAGGAAGGAAATCCTCACTGGGAACAAAAGTTTGATCTTGGACTCCCAGCCTTCAGAACCGTGAGAAATAAACGTCTGCGGTCTAGGCCCCACGCACCTAGTCTGTGGTATTCTGTGAAGGCAGCATGAGCTGACTGAGACATTGTAAGTCTGATGCTATTGTATTTTTTCTCAAGTCTATTGGTCTCATGTTTTCCACCTATTCACGTGTAATTTTTATTTTTACTTATTTATTTTTTGGCTGCATGGCTTGTGGGATCTTAGTTTCCCAGCCAGGGATTGAACCCATGCCCCTTAACAGTGAAAGCACAGAGTTCTCAACACTGGGCCATCGGAAAGTCCCTGTCTTATAATTTTTAAACTGACTTTAAGATATGATATATAAAAAAATCATAGAATTTAAAGACATTATTCTTCCCCAGAAAGTATTCCCTCCTCTCTTAGGCAGATAAGGTGGGGGATCATCTCAGCCCGACCAGAAATTGAGTTGGGTTGGACCGGATTCCAGTATTGGTCAGTGTGCCTCTGGCCTCAGATGTCCCCAGAGTAAGACGTGTCCTGCATTTCTTGCCACTCCTTCTAGCTGCCTTCTCAGGCATGGTCTCCCTACATTTTGACTCTAAGACTGGCCAGTCTTTGTCTCCTTGGCCTCAGAAGTTCTGCTTCTCTGAGATTTTAAGCTTAGCTCTTTCACCCCTACCCTCACATGCAAGCAAAATATCTGGCTAATGTCTTGAGGAGGAAAGTTATCATGTTTCCTTTTTATTGAAGTGTAGTTGGTTTACAAAGTTGTGTTAATTCCTGCTGTCAGGCACAGTGATGTACTTATACACATCCATACATTCTTTTCTATATTCTTTTCCATTGTGGTTTATCTTAGGATATTGAATATAGTTCCCTGTGCTATACAGTAGGTCCTTATTGCTTATTCATTCCCTGAGCAACAGTTGGCATCTGCTAATCAGACACTCCCAGTCCATCTCTCCTCCAATCCCTGTTCTCTTGGCAACCACAAGTCTGTTCTCTGTGTCGGTGAGTCTATTTCTGTTTTGTAGATAGGTTCATTTGTATTATATTTTAGATTCCACATGTAAGCAATATCATGAGGTATTTGTCTTTGTCTGACTTACTTCATTTATTATGATAATCTCTAGGTCTATCCATATTCCTGCAAATGGCTCTATTTTGTTCTTTTTTATGGCTGAGTAGTGTTCCTTTGTGTATATGTACCACATCTTCTTCATTCATTCATCTGTTGATGAACATTTACGTTTCTTCCATTTCTTGGCTATTGTGAACAGTGCTGCTATGACATGTTCTTGATGGCCTTTTCCTATAGCTGTATTTTGGCCTCCCAGGGACTGAAAAACAATGTCTTGATGTCCAGCATCCTACACTACCCTACCACATAGTGTTCCAATGGGAAACCGTAGATCATTGCTATTCTCTGGTCATTCAGACTCATCCACGTGGCTGACCCAAGTCCTGCCAGATTCTCCTCCCATTAGTAGACCTCTCTGCCCAAAACTCAGGCTGAACACTGACTCAGCAATGGCCTCATGGAAGAAAAGGACTAGGAATCCCAACTCACCTAGAAAGAAATTTTCCATCTCTGGAATTTTAGTTTCGTCCTCACTTCTTCTCTTCCACAGAGTTCCAGTGCCCATAAAATATGATTTCTGTAATTTATCCAGTTTTTCCCAGGTGCAGCATGAGAAAATGTTGGCTGCTGCCTACCACATTCTATCCCAACATATTAGAACCTCTCTGGCTGTTTCATTTTTACTGCTGCCTATCACAGGATTATCCCCCTTATGTAGGGGATAGAGAAATGTGAGAATATGGTCAAGATAAGAGTGTTGTATGTTATAGCTAGTTGAACAACTCCAGTGGAATTTCCAAATATTTTTCTTTCTCACTCAAACCAGGGAATTAATGCCTTCCTCCCATAAAAGATTTGAATTGTAAGACTCTCAAGGCTCAAGCAACGTTTAACCCAACAAAATAAATGTCAGTGGCAGTGATTCATCCATCTGCAGTGAGTTGAAGAATAAAAGAAAGTTTGGGCATGTGATCTTCTTGTCATCCTTAAATCTTTCTTGCTTGGCAACTACTCTCCATCTACTCCTCGGGCTGGCTTAGGATCTGAAGAAACAGTAGAATAACTGAAACAGAGTGAGTTTGGAGTCAGGCAGCCTTGCTTTTAAACCCCTGTGTTACCTTAAGGAAATGACACAATCTCTCTTAAGTTCTGGTTGCTTCCTCCATAAATTAAGACAAGCAATACCCACCTCCTAGGGTTGTTGTAAGAATTGTGTGAGGTCCGGAGCACCCCTCCACACACAGGGAACATCTACACATTGTCCTCCTCAGGCCTCACTTGTCCTCAGCTTACTCTTCTGTAAAATTAAGATGTGCCAACCATACAGTCATATCCAACTCTTAGGAACCCATGGACTATAGCCTGCCAGGTGCCTCTGTGCTTGGCATTCTCCAGGCCAGAATACTGGAGTGGGTAGCCATTCCCTTCTCCAGGGGGTCTTCCTGACCCAGGGATCGAATCCAGGTTCCCCACACTGCAGGCGGATTCTTTACTGTCTGAACCATCTGGTCTTTCAATGTAAAGTGTTAGTTGCTCAGTCATCTGGCTTCCCTGGTAGCTCAGTTGGTAAAGAATTTGCCTGCAATATGAATTCCCAGGGAGACCTGGGTTCAATTCTCGGGTTGGGAAGATCTCCTGGAGGAGGGCATGGCGACCTACTCCAGTATTCTTGCCTGGAGAATCCCCATGAACAGAGGAGCCTAGTGGGCTACAGTCCATGGGGTCATCCCGAGCTGGACACGACCGAGTGACTAAGCACACATGCACACAGCCATACAGAGTTGTTTTGATTCTGTGGCTCAGTGAGACCATGTAGGTGAAAGGGATTTGCAAATTGAAAATACTGTGCACAAAGACTTGGTCTCTCCCCCCACCCCCCCCCCTTTGACTGTGATGCAAGGCACACGGGATCTTAGCTCCCCAACCAGGGATTGAAACCGTACTCCCTGAGGTAGAAGCACAGAGTCCTAACCACTGGACTGCCAGGGAAGCCCAAGATTTGGTGCTCTCAGGGGCTGAGGTACCAAGCGACGTATCTCACAGCCAAGTCCAAAGGCTGCTCTGGTTGATTCTTCTTTCTAAAGGTTCTTCAATGTTAGTGTCATCCTCAAGGCGCCCGTCTTCATAGAGCAGCCAAGTGCCGTCTCCCACAGGAAGCCTCCCTTCAGGTGATCCAGCCAGTCTCTAAAGTGCAGGTACTTCAGAGCCTGGTGGGCTCTTGTTGCCCATCTGATCCCTGGGATACTCTCCTGTTGCCCACCTGACCCCTGGGATGCTCTCTTGGTGCCCATCTGATCCCTGGGATACTCTCCTGTTGCCCATCTGACCCCTGGGATACTCTCTTGTTGCCCATCTGACCCCTGGGATGCTCTCTTGGTGCCCATCTGATCCCTGGGATACTCTCTTGTTGCCCATCTGATCCCTGGGATACTCTCCTGTTGCCCATCCGACCCCTGGGATACTCTCCTGTTGCCCATCTGACCCCTGGGATACTCTCATCCACGCCCATCAGGTTGCCATAATGGTGCAGAACTTGGAATCACACAAAACATCAGTCAAATGAGATCCCACCTCTGCAACTTACCAGCCATGTGACTTTGGGTGAGTCTGTTCAGCTTCCTGCCATCACTTTGCTCATCGAGAAAGCCAGGATATAATAATAAGGGGACACCTCCACGATATTGTAGGTTCCATTGAAGACCATTGAGATAAAGCAGATATCACAATAAACTGAGTCACATGAATTTTTTTGGATTCCCCAGTGCATCTGAAAATTTTACTTACACTATACTGCAGCCTATTAAGTGTGCAATAGAATTGTCTAAAACAAAGTACATATCTTAATTTTAAAATACTTTTCTGCTTTAAAAAAAAAAAAAAAAGCCCGCTAACCATCACCTAAGGGCCTCCCTGGGGGCTCAGATGGTAGAGAATCCGCCTGCGGTGCAGGAGACCCAGGTTCAGTCCCGGGGTCAGGGAGAGCCCCTGCAGAAGGGGATGGCTACCCACTCCAGTGTTCTTACTGGGGGAATTTCATGAACAGAGGAACCCGGCAGGCTACGGTCCATGGGGTCTCAAAGAGTCAGACACGACTGAGCGACTAACACACACAACCATCACCTGAGGCTTCAGCAAGCTACAATAGTGACATCAAACTTTGCTGATCACCAATCACCATAACAAACAGACGAACAAAGAAAAAGGTTGAAATATTCTGAAATTACTAAAATGTGACACAAGGCCGGCACATGTTGTTGGAAAAATGGCGCTGATAGACTTGCTCAAGGGTAGGGTTGCCACAAACCTTCAATTTGTAAAAAGTGCAGTATCTGTGCAGCACAACGAAAGGAGGCCTGGCTGCATCTACTTTTCAGGACTGTTGTCAGCGGCGGATGAAAGGACAGGAAGCCTGGTGCACAGGGCAAACACCTGCAAACAGCAACTGTCCTTCTCCCTGGGTCCCTGACTCTTCCTGCGCCCACGTGCCTGGCTCGGCGCTGGGTCAGCGTCTACGCTCACTCTCCGCAGCCCAATCTCCTTGAGGCCCAGCATCTCTAAGGACCGGCGCTCTCTCGGCTTTCCCATCTCCCTGGTAACGAAGGAGCGGCTTTCAGGGGGCTGGGCCAAGGGCCAGTGGGAGCCAATGAAAGCGCGGGGAGGCCACAAGAAGCCAATGGGTTTGAGGTGGGGTGGGGCCGGCCTCTCTGGATGCTCCCAGCTGCGCTGTCCAGGCGGGTGCGGGCAGGGCACAGGGCCAGCCACCGACTTCCACCCCCTTCCCAGCCTGGGAGAGCACGAATAAATTAGCTATTCTTAATAGGGCCTGAAACGGAGCCTATTCTGTCTAACAAGGAAGACAAAGTTTTGTCAGTATGTATTTCTCCAACTCAAATAGTACAGTGATGTGGGCTAAGAAGGAAGACAAAGTTTTATCAGTTGTCTATTTCTCAAATCCCGGTTCCTCACTGATGGGGCCTGAGCAGGACCAGGGTGCTGGGTGCCCAAAGGGGCCTCCTGGGCAAAACTCAAGTGGTTTATGCTCTGCTGGGCTTTGGCAAGAAGAAAAGACCATCTGTGGGAGTGGGGCATCTCCTGGGGTGCTGGCAAACAGGAGGTTTCAGTCCTCCCCCAGCTAGGTCCCTGGGGCCTTCGTTTGACAGCACCTCGGGACCAGTCTGAAGTGGGCGGGGCTTCCGTTGGCCCCTGCAGACCTCACAGCAGACCTCAGCCTCAGCCTGAACCCTGCTAGGGCCCAGTCGCTTCTGGGTCCTCCTCGCCCATTACCCCTGCTCCTGGATTCCTCTGCTCCTCACACGTGAGCCCTTCCCTATGTTACTTGCAAGATCTTCAGCGGCTGCTGTTTCTCTTCCTTCCAGCCTTAGCTTCCCTGACCACGCACCTGCAGGAGATCCCTCCTGCTTATCACTCTCCAGCACATCATCTGGGTCTCTTTTCCAGGGATTACCCCAGTATGGAATCATTAATGCATCTGTTTGCTGTCTACTCCCCAGATAGAGTGACAGCAGTTCCACCAGGCCAGGGACTGGCTGTCTTGTTCACTGTGTATCCCAGGACACAGAGGAGACGCTAAAATACAGGATGAATGAGTGAATCAACGAATCCAAAATATAGCATTAAAGTGCCTCCTGGAACCACTCTTGTTGTTGACAGATGAGCCTGACTGACAGCCTTATTCTCCACATTCACTTGAACAGGGACCTATCACTGGTGATGGAGCTGTGTGGAGTCCTGTATTAAGGGACACTATGGGCCAAACCCATCTGTATGACCCTCTCACAACTAATAGGAAGGAGAGGTCCTGCCAGTATCTCAGACTTTGGGAATTTTCTATAACTGTGGTAGACAAGCTGCCCAGAACTCCCTGAATATCTTCTGATATTTTATCAAGTGTAGAGGGTCTACACACTTGTCAAAACAATAATAAAAGTGACTGCTATATGCTGAGTGCCTGCTATGTTCCTGTACCAGACAGTTCCCTGTCTCAGCTCAGGATATCATAATGAAATGCCACAGACTCAGTGGCTTAAATAAGAGGCATCTTCTTCTCACAGTTTGAGAGACTTGGAAGTCCAAGATCAAGGCGTTAGCAGATTCAGTTCTTGGTAAGGGCCCACTTCTTGGCTGACAGGTGGCCACCTCTTTGCTATGTCCTCATATGGCAGAGAAAGAGCTCTGTTCTCTCCTTTTCTTATAAGGTCACTAATGTTATTGTGGGGTCCCCACCCTCATGATCTCACAGAAACCTAATCATCTCCCAAAGGTCCTACCTTCTAATACCATAACATTGGGGTTTAAGGTTTCAATATAAAAATTCAACAAGCACAAACATACAGTCCATAATATTCCCTACAGAGACTATAGTTTCTACAGAAATAGCACAATGTAACTGATTAATCTCCTTTAGTTGGTCTCAGCCCAGGAGATGATGCAGCTCAGAGTCACAGAGTAAAACTAAAGGCTGCTGGCCTCCCCCTACAGTAAGCCGCCCCCTCAAACCTGCTAGTTCACCCCCAGAGCTAGCAGGAGATCACACAACAGACCCTGGGCTCTGATCTGGCTGGTTAATTGATCACAGAATTTGTGGCTAAAAAAAAAAAAGATTCTTATAAAAACAACATCTATTCTGGATTGGGATGGAACCTTTTACCCCAATCATCCCATTTTGGACTTTCTCATTTATTCCTTCATCCCACAAGGGTCTGTTGAGAATCTCCTCCGTACCTAGGGATACACAGTGAACAAGACAGCAGAAAGTCTCTGGCTCCACAGGCGTGTTTCTGAAGTTCGGGGCAAGTGTGTCAGAAAGATCCTGCAAGCAAGACCCATATCCCAGGCCCGGCAGGAACCCAGTGTTTCCTGCTCCTTTGCCCCCGGCATCCCCTGCCCCAGTGTCCACCTTCCCTCCGGCAGCCACCACCTCCCACACCTCCCCCTCGTTTCTTTATTTGTTTTACCACATCGGAGGGGGTTTTAATGGGAGAAAGGGCCCAGGAATGGGGTTGTTTGAGGACAAGGAAACGAGCCACTTGCTGTGATGAATGTTCTTGAAAAGCAATTTATTTTTTCACGGGTAGCTCGCCGGGCTCAGGAACAAAAGTGCTTTGGCTGCCTATCAAATAATAACAGAGGCGAACTGTTTTCTCGGCGGTTCTCTTTTCCTGCACACGCTCACTTGCGCCTCTCACTAGGCATGACAGAAGTGACATCGAGTTCAAGGGCTCCCTGGGGTCCCCTCCCAAGATAAAGTGGCGGCTGCTTTCATGGGCCATGGGACCCTGTCCCTCCTGCCTACCCTCTCCACTCTCCATGCATTTGCTTCCAAAAGACGACTGTGCTGCAGAGACATTCAGTGGAGTGGGTCCCCAGGAAACCAGAGATCAAGTGGAAACATTGGACATGCTGCACTCAGTTAAGCAAGAGAAGAGACAGCCCTGCCCTCTTTGCCCCTGGACTCCAACCACATGCCCCACCAAAGCAGCCATCCTAACACCTTCCTGAGGTCTTCGGTTCCCCTCCCTCCTCAGGAGCAGAATCACTTCCCCCAAGGATGGGCTCCCAGGCTTTGGAGTGCGTCTGCAGAGAAGACCTCTCAGGTGACTGACACTCCTAGCGACTCACTGGGACCCCGCTTTTGCCAAATGATGGTTGTGCCTGGCTGTCTGAGAGAAGCCTCTCCATCCCTGGGAACAGGAGCTAAAACAACACAGGGCCCTGGCAGGGCCAGGGAACAGTGACCGTGTCTGAGACTTACCGTGATGAGGGCCTGAGTTTTAGCGATAATTCCAGGAAGACAGAAGTCTCCTCCTAGCCTGCATCTATCAAGGAGGACCAGACCAAACCCTGCCTCTCACTCCTGTTCCTCTTTGGGCTGACTCCCTCTTTTCCATTTGCCGAAGGAAATTTCTGAAATTGTCAGAAACAAGAGGCTGTGGAGGGGAACCCTCTGCCTGGATGGAAGGCAGACTTCCGCATCTAATCATATCGCCCACATGTCCAGAAGAGTGACCTACCTTCCCCAGCAGCTGGTTGGGGTCAGGGACTTGGTTTTGTTTTCCTGAAGAGGGGAATAAAGTCTCTCAATCCAGTGACTATGGAATAGAAGCCTTTATCTGCTCTTAAAAGAACTTGAGACAAGGAGCAGAGGGTGGGCTCCCTTTTGCCCAGTCTGCCAGCCCCAATTCTGGAGATGGACAGATCTCTGGACTGAGGCCCCCAAATCCAGCTCCCAGCAGTGCTGCAGAGGCAGGGAGTGGAAGGGTCAGGCCCAGGCCCTCCTTCTTCCTCTTGAAACTGTTAGCCAGACTGCAAAGAGGGCCTCCAGTGAGCTTGGCCCTGGTATCACCCACTTTCAGAGTCCCCTCCCATTCAGTGTGGGCTACCCTTGGGGCTGGCTTTTGTCTAGCGGAATGTGATGGCAGTGATGCTTGAACTTCTGAAGCTAAGTCCTAAAAAGCCTTGAAGCTTCTGCCAGGGTCTCCTGGGTGATGCATCTGGAGGTAGCCAGGCCCCATGTAAGAAGTCTGACTCACTCAAGACCACCAGGCTTGGAGGAAGTCTACACAGAGGGGCAACGAGGGCCGACAGATACCTGGCTGGCCCCCAGCTCCCCCGGCCTTCCCAGCTGGAGTGACAGACACAATAGTGGCACAGGCCTGTATGACTGTATCACTGTAGCCTCAGGACTCAGCTCCGGCCACCACCTCAGGACAACTGCAAGAAAGGCCCCCAAGTGAAAACCGCGCAGCTGAGCCCAGTCAACTGATGAAAGAAAAGGAGGCCTCACTGCTGTAAGCCACACATTGTGGAGTGTTTTGAAATGCAGCACAGAAACCCAGGACAGAG